TATTACAGGAACCCTACTGTCTGTCATCTCATGAACCTCTGTGGAACCAACCAGTGGAGCCTCTCAGGATGGATGATGACTTCTGGGGCCCCACAGGGCCTGTGGCTACAGAGATGGTTGACAAACACAGGAGTCTGTACCGGTGAGTGACAGGACTCTGGTGTGCCAAGCTGGCCACCTCCCCACCCCGCCATCCCGACACTGGATCCTAACAGACACTCAGCAACCCAATCTTGATCCATTGGGTCCCTTCTCATTGTTGAGCCACCAGGCAGAGAGACAGGGCTGTATTAGTACTTTTATTATGGAAACAGAAGTTTTATTATGAAAAGTTGCAAACAACAAAGAAAAATGTTCAAGGGACTACTACTTACTCATTACCTAGCCTTAACCACCATTTTCCCAAATTTGTTTCAACTATTCACTTTCCCCTTCTTTTGTTTTTATACTATTTTAAATACAAGATATCAGGTGATTTTATCCATATATGTTTTGTGATGAATTTTGAAGAATACAAAATAACCAGAATACCATTGTCATAACCACAATGCCATTGTCATATCTAACAACATTTTTAATAAGTCATTTTCGTATCATCCAATACCCCATCTGTATTCAGTATGCTCAATTGTCCAAAATGCGTCCTTGCAGTAAGTTTATTCTACTCAGGATCCAAACCAAGTCCACTCATTTTGTTTGGTTTCTTATGTATCATAAATCTCATTTAAATCTCTGTTCATCTACACATGCCTGCTTTATTAACATCCACTATGTGCAAAGTACCATACCAGTAACAAGGAGCCATGAGATGAATATGGAGCCATGCCTTCCAAGGGTTCCCAGACTTAAGTAATGAAGTAATAAGTAATAATTATAATTTTAGTTCTGATCTCTTACATAGCACATTCCCATTCACTGTCACAGATATGATCTCAGCTGGGCAATAATATTACTCAACTTACACACAGAACCTCACATCCTAGAAACCCACTCTATACCAGCAGGGAACCTGGGGAAAGTCTCTGTAAGTTTTATTTTAAGTTCAAGTGATTATCATTAATATCACCATGTAGATTGTTATTAATTACTGAAAATTAGGCCCTTTAAAAACAATACCATGCCTTCCAAGGGTTCCCAGACTTAAGTAATGAAGTAATAAGTAATAATTATAATTTTAGTTCTGATCTCTTACATAGCACATTCCCATTCACTGTCACAGATATGATCTCAGCTGGGCAATAATATTACTCAACTTACACACAGAACCTCACATCCTAGAAACCCACTCTATACCAGCAGGGAACCTGGGGAAAGTCTCTGTAAGTTTTATTTTAAGTTCAAGTGATTATCATTAATATCACCATGTAGATTGTTATTAATTACTGAAAATTAGGCCCTTTAAAAACAATAACACTTGCCTGTTTCATTATTATTATTATTATTAATATTATTATTACTATCATTTTATTCTCACCATTATCACCATTATAGAAACAGCTAACCACACCCTCGTAAGTATTAAGCCATCAACATACATTAGGTCACTTATTACTTACAACTCTAAGAGATAGTGTTGTTATTACTTTTACTTAAAAATAAGAAAACTGAGATTAGGAATCTCAATGACTTGATTAGGGATCCACAGTAGGGAGAAGAGGGAATTGAACCCAAATCCCTCTGGCTGTCACATCTGAGCTTGCAGCCACTCTACTAGATACACAGTGCACTGCATGGATCGGGCATCCAGTAGGTAGTCAATGAGCTTGTGTGGAGTAATTAATTCAATGTCTACCTCTCTCTGCTATCCCCAGAGTTCACTTGCCTGTGGCTGGTTCCTACCACTGGCCCAACACAGGTCTCTACTTTGTGGTGAGAGAGCCAGTGACCATTGAGATTGAATTCTGTGCTTGGGACCAGTTCCTGGACCAGATTGTCCCACAGCACAGCTGGATGGTTGCGGGGCCTCTTTTTGACATCAAGGCTGAACCAGGAGCTGTGGCAGCTGTGTACCTCCCTCACTTTATAGCCTTCCAAGGTGAGTGAGAGGGAGGTGTGGGGGAAGGTCATGGTGGTGAGAATGGGTCCGAAATGGCTTCTAATGGCTTTCAATATCCTGAGGGGAGTGTGTGGCTTCCTCAGGCAGACTGAGAGAAAGTTATAGAAGTGGCAGCAGCTTTCTATCTCATTCCAAAGTGCTCTGGGCGTATCTTTTTTAAAATATTTTTGTCCCCAAGCACCATAATCATTTTTGCTGTAATTACTTGAAGCTTCCTTTCAATAAAAAGTGGTCTCCTCAGTAACAATAATAGCCATCATTTATTAAGTTCTCTTCACATTGATTATATTACTCAGGGTCTCAGCAG